AAGATAAGAGGGTGTACCCCTCCCCCAGGAGACAAAGGAGAAGGTGGATGGAGAAAGGGAAACTGGGCCTCAGGCAGCATTAGAATGATGCTACCAGTTTAGAAACACACACACACACACACACACACACACACACACACTCTCTCTCTCTCTCTCTCTCTCTCTCTCTCTCTCTCTCTCTCTCTCTCTGCCTGTTTTGGACCAAGGGATTTTGATCACTGTGACCCATCCCCCACCACCCTGGGCTGGCATGGCCACGCCCACAGTGCCCCAAGCTGCCCGCCTTGTTGTGACTCACTTCCTCTGTATGGGCTGCTGAGGTGTCCGGAGGTGAGGCTGAGGACACAACTAGGCCTTTGGCCTGGGATTTAGGTATCTGGGACAGGCAAAGACATGGACCCCAGTTGTGGAAAGTGGATCTTGGTCTTCCCAGGTCAGGCTGGCTTGTGCAACACAGAAACCTATTTGGATAAAAGAGTAGAGCTTGGCTAGTACGTGAGCAGAGGGATTGAGGTGCCAGGAATTCTGGGGAGAAAAAGTTTTATAACAAGAGGAAATATGGCCAGGAGGAGTTTCTATGTATTCTGAAACCATGCAATGCAAAGTATTTGCAGAAAAGCAATATGGACTTAGAGTTGAACAAGTTTTCATGAGTCAACAGCTAAGACTCTGTATGTTACTGCTTATCCTCCTGCATTCCACTAAGAGGGACCCCAAGTCAGCCATGCCCTTGTGAATGAAAAAATGTTGCCTGCCATATCAGTAAACAAAGGATGTTGCAGCCAGCAAGACATCATATTACAGGGACTTCCCTGGTGGTCCAGTGGCTAAGACTCTGAGCTCCCAATGCAGGCGGCCCGGCTTCGATCCCTGGCCAGGGAACTGGATCGCACCTACCGCAACGAAGATCCCGCATGCCTCATCTAAGACCCGACACAGCCAAATAAATAAATATTTTTTTAAAAAGAAAAGGCATCACATTACAGCTGCCCTGACAGTGAATCCTAAGAGAACTCAGGATGGAAATGGGATGCCCACCATCAAGCTATCAGCCACTGCAGCCACCCCCCCCCAACAATGCACCCTGAGGAGACTCAGGATGGGAAAACACAGGATACTGGCCCCAGATAGCTGAGATACATATCAAAGGAATGATTTCAGTGAGCCTAGACTTTTGCATCTTTCCATACATAGAAAAGCACTGAATTCGTTAACTTGACATGTCTTATTTTCTTTAATGAACAGTAATCTTTTGATATTCTTTTTTTATATAAATTTAATTATTTATTTATTTATTTGTCTGCGTTGGGTCTTCGTTGCAGTGCGCAGGCTTCTCGTTGCGGTGGCTTCTCTTGTTGCAGAGCGCAGGCTCTAGGCACGTGGGCTTCAGTAGTTGTGGCACGTGGGCTCAGTAGCTGTGGCTCGCGGGCTCTAGAGTGCAGGCTCAGTAGTTGTGGCGCACAGGCTTAGTTGCTCCACGGCATGTGGGATCTTCCCAGACCAGGGCTCGAACCCATGTCCCCTGCATTGGCAGGCGTATTCTTAACCACTGCGGCACCAGGGAAGTCCCTCTTTTGATATCCTGACTGCCTGGTTCTTGTTACAAAACTCCTATATATCCTGCTTCTCCCTCACCTCTTCAGAGCAGTCCCTCAGAGCTGTCTGAGAGACTGCGTCCCAGGCTTAAGCCCTCAGTATTGTCTGCCAAATAAAACATAATTCTCAACTTTTACGTTGTGTGTTATTTTTCAGTCGACACCCTCATCTGAGTGATGAGGAAAACACTGAGAAGTTAGGAGACCTGGATTCTGGTTCTAACACGACGGCCTCTGGAAGTCACTCAGCCTCCTTGAGTCAGTAACAGGAGGGTGGTAGACCAGGTCATCCCTAAGATCTCCTCCAACTCTGAAATTCTAAAATTTAGAGCATGGGGTTGGAGGGTGATTTAGTAAATCTGAAAACAACCTCAATCTGGCCCTGGAGTTGAACAAAACAAAACCCAGGGACAAAAGGAGTGAGATTCCACCAGCTTCAGGCGAGCATTTGTAAACACATCACACACACACTCCTAGGCAACCAGGACCACTCTTCTGCCTCCAAATTCAGGATTCAGCCTTGCAGGTCAGCCAGCAGTACCTTGCAGAGGTTTGGACTGGGGAAACAGGAGCCCTCTCTCACCCTTCATTTCCCCCTAAGCCTGCTTGGAACGTGTGCCCAAAGAGATTCTGAAGGGTACAGAAAACCAAAGGCACAGGGACCCTGGCTGTGGAGCCGCTGTACTACGGTCTCCTGCATGTGTCCTGAGGTCTGTCTCAGCAGGGTCGCTTGCGTAGATGTCTACCTGAGGCTCTTCCCCGACTCTGCCTGCCCACCAAGTTCACCTAGGAACCTGATGTCCTCGGGAGACTGTGCTTCCCAACAAGTGGGCCAAGAGAGCCCCTGGATATCTGTGGCTGGAGCCAGAGCCTCAGAGACCTCAAGTAGCCGCCAGGAGTCTCGAGGCTCTCTCTCAGTGGGTTTCGATGGCCTCTTGTGGCCAGATTGGGGATTGGCAAGAAAGAAGTTACAGAAGAGAGCCAAGGTTGGAATTCTTAGGGAGATGCTAATAACAGTTATCGTTATAAAATAACATAACAATATTAATTATTACATATTAGTTAACATTTTGACATGTGTACTTACCATTCTGTGCCCAGCTCTCTTCTAAAGTGCTTTACGTGTATTAATTTATTTAATTCTCACAATAGCCTATAATATAAACACTGTTATTATCTCCATTTTGACAAGGAGGAAACTGAGCACAGAAAGGTTAAGGTGGTTGCCAAGGTCACACAGCAGACCAGAATTCTAAGTCTAAGGAATCTGGCTTCAGAACCTTTGCTTTTAATCACCATGCTGAAACTGCATCCCATTTTTCAGGTTGCCAGGTAAAATATAGGATGCTCAGTTAAATTACAATTTCAGACAAACAGCAAGTAATTTATTAGTATAGTATATCCTACGAAATATATGGGTCATACTTAATACTAACAAATTATGTGCTGTATTTACTAAATCCGGCAACCCTAATTTACAAGGCACTTTTCTCTGCCAAGTGCCATCACACATATTACCTCATTTAATCCTCCCAGGAAGTCTATTCTCAGGTGCCCCAGGATTCCCCCTCCCCACCACCCCCCCACACACACAGTTCATCTTCTCCCAATATTGCCTTTTTTTTTTTTTTTTTTTTTCAGGTAAAGAAAACAGAGGGACTTTCCTGGCGATCCAATGGTTAAGACTCTGCAAACCCAACGCAGGGGGCACAGATTCGATCCCTGGTCAGGGAAGATCCCGCATGCCGCATGGCATGGCCAAAAAAGAGAAAAACAGAGACATGATGGAGACCTGAAGTGACTAGCTGAGGTTGCAGAACATAATAAGTGGCAGAGCTGGGACTGAACCCACATTCTCCAGCAAAAATTGGTGCGTGTTTTCCACTTTAACAGGAGAGAAAAGTGAGAAGCAGTGATTGCCACCATGGAAGTCTCCCTTTATAGCATCTCCTTAGGCCTGGTCTGCTCTGAGGAAGAGCTGCTGGTCCCTCCTCAGAAAGCCAGTGAGGACCTTCCCAGGGTGGGAGAGTGGCAGAGGATCTCTGGCTTCTGTGCCCAGCCCCCAGCAGACCTGTCTAGGGCAGCAGGAAGGAGACTGCTCTCAGACCCTAGGGAGTTGGCTGTGAGATTCGAGTAATTGTCTGCTCAGGGGCCCCTGAGGCTCCCCAAGACTGTTTACCTGCTGCTCTGTGCACAGACAGCCTCCAGCCCAGCTGCTGGGGTTGCATCACCTGCAGCTAAAACAGCCCTGGCAGCCAAAAGGCAACACAAGGAATCTAAGACACAGGGACCCAGGGAGCCTCTTTCATCTCCCTGTTGCCTTTTGGAAGCACGGTGCTTCTGCCCACAGGGAACACCCTGTGCGTTTTTCTCTCTTGACTCTGATCTGCTCCTATCCCCGGAATACCTGTGCCCTTCCTTCCCTAAAGATTTACACAGTCCCGTCCCCCCCCCCCCCACTCTACTACTCTCTTCCAATCACTCCCACTCGCTACTGCTCTAATACCCCTCTGGGATGCAGGCTGGGGTGCCCTGCTGGTATGTGCCCCAACAGGTTTTTCCGTACCAGCCTCCAAATAAGCCTGGAGCCTTGTCTGACCTGCCCCCACCCCCACGCCCCCAGGGAGCTGGAGTCAGAGGCAGAGCCAGGTCAGAAGCTGGACTTAGAGACTGGGCTTCTGTGGTCCCACCTGGCCCCGCCGGGACGGCAGTGCACAAAGCCTCCTGTGTCGGGGCCGAGCTGCTGAGAGGCCAGCGGAGTTCTCCGCATGGGTTAAGGCCAGTTCCTGGGAGGAGAGATGCTGGGTAGGGAGGTGTTGGCATGTGGGACCCGATACAGCCTGGTCCTCTCCCACATTTGGGAGGGGCCAGAGCCTGAGAGGATAGCTGGTCTGGTCTGCTGGAGAGGTCATCTGACTGGCTGTTCAGCTTGGGCTGCACACACACCCTCTCCTGTACCAGGCCACACAGGAGCTGGTGCCCATACACGGTACGCCACCAGGCTCTGAGGACACCCACTTCGCCCCCAGCGCCTCCGGGTAAGCACTGGACCTGGGCTCTCATGCTGCGGCTGGGGGTGGATGGCGGAACTTGTTGATCACTTGGGGGAGGGAGAAAGGAGTTTTCCTTTTCTAACATGAGTGCCTGCTTCCTTCTCCAGGCACCCATGTACCCACAAGAACACATACTCATGTCAGCTCAGAGATTGCACCTGCTGACCTAAAGATCCCAGCTGGAGACTCTGAGGGTGAAAGGCGCACAGTGGTGGAAGCTCTGTGGGCAGGGCGTGGGGCTTACTTGGAGGCTGGGGCTGAAGGTGGGGGAAAATGCGGTTATCTCCCGCCCCACATACTTAATCCTGCTGCCTCGCCTCGCCTCCCTTACACTGCCCCAGGAACACCCAGCCAGGCCATTGAAGGAAGGGAGGTGACCTCAGAAGGGGATCATCCACCTCAGACCAAGGGCTGGGGAGCCTTGGGACCAACCCTAGAGTCTGGGAGGGTTTGTTTGGTGCTAGTTCTAGCAGCATCCCTGATCAAACTTGCTTCCGGAAGGATGGTGAGTGGTGGGGAAGGTGGAGGCTCGCCTCTTACCCTCCACTTGGGCTCCCAAACCTGCCACGCAGGTTGTTCTTTTTTTCTGCAACAAAGGAGAGGAATGGGTAAAGGGAATCCAGGCTCCGGACCTGGGGTCATAAAGCGGCCCAGAAAGGCTGGGACGTTCCCCTGAATTGGCTCCTGTGTCCCTCCTCCCAGGGCATCCAGTCGCACCATGTCTGTGACCAGTGGGAAGATGGGACTATCCCTGGCTCAGGAGATCCTCAGCCACCTGGGCCTTGCCAACAAGGTAGGTGCTGCTGGGATTGTAGGAATCTTTTCTTTTTTTTTACATCAACACAGGGGCTGGGGGGTGGGACGGGGAATAGGAAAGGGAGACCTGGCCCTGAGGCCATGCCCAGGGCCTGGCCGGGGCACTGGGGAATGGGCAGACTCTGGTACCCCCGTGCTCTTACAGACCGCAGCTTGGGGCATCCTCAGAACCTTCTTGAGCTTCAGTATAGACAAGGATGTGCAGAGGCTGCCAAGGGCCATTGCAGGCCAAGGTGAGCCCCTTCCCTCTGCACTTGGGCATATTACCTTTTAGAAACCAGTCTGTAGACCGAGAAGGAACCCGGAAGGAGGAACTGACGATACTCCATAGAGTATCTCCTGGGCAAGAGAGAGGAGGTTTCACGCTCCTGCTAATGTAACAATCTCATATTATTTTGTAAACATAGAGCAGCTCTCTTTTCCTAGGTTTACAAACTGTCTTGTCAAGAGTAGAGGAGTGAGCTGTGGTTAGAGATAGGTTAGTTGACCCACCAGGGCACCAAAGCTAAAATTTTTGGCCCAATTAATGTCTAGGTGGCCAAATACAGATATGGATTCAGTTGCCAGAATGAGGATGGTGATAACACTAGAAAAAATAGCAAAAGAGCCACCATTTCTTAGGGGCTCCTTGTGTGCCAGGGCCTATGCCAAGCACATTACACATTTCAGTGAATCCTCACATCCACACTCACATCCTTGTTTTATAGATGAAAAAACTGAAGTACAGAGAGGTTAAATACCTTGCCCAAGGTCACACAGCTATTAAGTCACCTAGTCTCCTACAATACACATAATGATCCTATAGGACATGTAACTGCCATGTATCAACTCCTGGTCTATATCATAGGTGTTGGTCTATCCTATAAGCTATAGCATACTCTTGGCACCCAAGACCACCTTTCTCCACACTGGTCAGACTTCGTTCCGTATTATCCGAACTTAAATTGGCGATCTTGGTTTGAGGAATTTCATAAACAGAATCCGGTCATTGTGCTCGTTGAGCTAGGTCTCCTAGTACAACTGTCCCCCAAAACTTATAAATAAAAAAGCTCACCAAAAATTTGAAGATGGAATAGCTTTTTGTATACTGGTTGAGAAACCATCATGCCTATTAACAGCTATTCAAGACAGTACATAGAAGCATTTATTTTATCATCCAGAGATTTCCATTTTGACAGTAGATTACTGTGCTCATCCAATAAAGCCTGTACTTTTATAATGAGTGAACACTAAGATTCATTTGAAGAGTTGTGGTTATCTAAATTCCTGTCATAAAAACAAACTTATACCACAGCAATAAATGATTGTAAAGTATTTGGATTACAGGACTCTGTAATCCAAATACTTTACAATCATTTATTGCTGGTAGACTTTTGGATGTAAATGCCAGATTTATCTTAGAAGTACGAGTCAAAAAATAATACAGGCCTATTTTTCTGAAAAAAAATTTTAAAAAAGGAAAAACTCAATCAAGACACTTCCAAACTATTCTTTTATGAGAGAAATGTGAAAACATAATTGTGATGAATATTTATTCAGAAAAATGACCTTTAAATGACAGCTGATTCAGGACAAATTCAGACCAATCTGAACCATAAAATGAAGGTTCATTATAAAGATCCTAGGGCAGTATGAGATGCCAAATTTATTCTCAAGTAACAAGACAAGAATTATGTTTGATATAGGTTTGGTATAGAGGGTACTTGTACACCATTGGGAATATTCAGTTAATGAGTGACTCCTACCCCAATTCTATAACTATGGAGTAACAAGAGTTGGAAGAAGGGAAGAATGGATACTGGGAAGCATTTGGCAGTCTTCATCACAACATAAAACCAATGATACATGGAATTCAAAAGAGTAGCCATCAGGGAATTCCCTGGCGGTCCAGTGGTTAGGGCTCCTTGCTCTCACTGCTGAGGGCCTGGGTTCCATCCCTGGTCAGGGAACTAAAATCCCACAAGCCACAGCCAAAAACTAAATAAATAAATTTAATTTAATTAAGTGCAAAAAAAAAACAAAACAAAGAGTAGCCATCAGGCCCACTGACAATTAGGTAATGAATGAGTCCAAATAAAATATAGCATCCTGTATTCACTTCATCATTTTTTTTTTGTTTCTTTGTGGGAGTTTATGATCTGTGGGGTTGCCCTAAGTGTAGGTTTCAGGCAGTTCTGCAAAGGGTCTTAGGAGTCAAGTGACTGGGATAACTCTGAAAAAGAGGATAATAGGAAATGATGACAGCACCAGTGCACAGCTCATGACACAAACAGGTTTTTTGCAACCAAAAAAAATTTTTTTTAACATTTCTTTCCTTTTTTTTTTTTTTTAATATTTATTTATTTATTTGGCTGCGCTGGGTCTTAGCTGCAGCATGCAGGATATAGTTCCCTGACCAGGGATCGAACCTGGGTCCCCTGCATTGGGATTGTAGAGTCTTAACCACTGGACCACCAGGGAAGTCCCCAAAATATTTTATTATAATCAGTTATAGCTCATGATTTGAATATGTACTATATCTCTATTATTTCTAAACTGAACCCTCCATTACCATCTTTAACCAAAAGGCAAGAGGCCTGGTGCAGGTATGAGAGAAGGACAGTGATGCTGAACCCCAGGGGTCCAACCAGGAGAAACTGATGTATAAAGATGAGGATAACAAGACGACCCTGGTAGGTCAGGATCAGAACGGGAAGTCACATGACCCTGCTCCCTATCAGAGCCCCATCAACTCAGTTTAGGGACAGGGTGGGTGTATCCTCCTTGGACTTTCTCGAACTTGTAAGTTAAAAACAGTCTTTCTGGATTTCATTCTGTAAATCTTTTTTTTTTTTTTAAGATTTTTTTTTTAAGATTTTTTTTTTTTTTGGCTGCATTGAGTGTTGCTGCACGCAGTCTTTCTCTGGTTGTGGAGAGCGGGGGCTACTCTTCACTGTGGAGCGCGGGCTTCTCATTGCGTTGGCTTCTCTTGTTGCAGAGCACGGGCTCTAGGTGTGCGGGCTTCAGTAGTTGTGACATGTGGGCTCAGTAGTTGTGGCGCATGGGCTTAGTTGCTCCGCGGCACGTGGGATCTTCCCGGACCAGGGCTTGAACCCGTGTCCCCTGCACTGGCAGGCAGATTCTTAACCACTGCGCCACTAGGGAAGTCCCTCATGCTGTAAGTCTTTATAGGTGGCAAGTCTCCTCTATCTTTTCTTGAGTACATGCCCTTGGAGCGAGGTACTCAAGAGCGAGGCTCTAAGCTAGTGGCAGGACCAGGAAAGACGTGGATGGAACAAGTAATTGTCCAGTAATATTCCCCACAGCAATCGATCTTTCCTGCCACATCATTACCCTTACATAATGCATATTTCTCTTTTCCTTGACTCTCTCTTCACCAACACTCCCTAGAATAATTCACCATGCGGCCCAATCCCTAGTCTGTGAGAATGTCACTACCACCACATCCACATTCTCTTTCTTCCTCTACCAGCAAACTGAGACAATTACCAAGTTCTGACACGTATCCTTATTTCTTGAAGTGAGACTGATCTTCTAAGTATCCGAGCTGAGTTCAGAAGAAATTTGGGAAGTCCCTCTACTCTTCCCTCCAGGTGAGACTTCGCTGGTTCTTAACCTGGAGCCCTGGAGCTTCACCCCTAACCTCCACACTGCACACAGTGGAGCATAGTCATGTCCTGGAGAACTCATGGGTCTTTGGTGAATTTAGTGCAGGACTCCAGGCACCACACAATCTCTGGGCCAGCACGAGGGAGAGGACAGAGTGCCTAAGCCATAGTGGTGGTGGGTCTTTCTAATACTTGACTTTCTTGTCTGCAGAACGCAGTGAAAGGGAACTGCCGGTCAGCCCTACTAGCCCTGTGCAGGGCTGAAGACCTCTGAGACCTCATCCCCATATGACCTTCAAGAATCTGAGATTCCCATGTATGGGTGAGCCTGCAGGAGACCAGCTGGGCCTCCAAATAAGATAACCCCTCACTTGAGCACCACATGTTCCAGCTTCTTGTGGAGTCTGGAACTCCAAGTTCCTCTTAAATCCCTTAATTTCCCTCATTTCAAAGTGATATCTGCACCTGGGTCCCCTAGCTCTGTCTTGGGTATGCGATAATGGGATCTCTTTGATAGTTTCTGCTCTACTCATTCTTTCCGTATTCTGGCCAGCACATCTCACTGATATTTGAATTCTTTTGGCAAACTTCACTGTCATTTGTGTTCCCTGATTGAAGTTTGGGTGGAGCAGGACATGGGCTGGGAGGAGGCCTTGAAGCTGGAGGTGCCTTTCATGTTGGATATTCAACAGGAGTCCTGTTTGAGGCTCTAGACTGCAGTTGTCAACAACCCCCCTCCCCTCGGTGTCTCCCCTCCCCCCCATTAATCTCTCTTCACCAGGAAATTTCAGGTAAAATAATTGAGGACCAGGAACCACAATGAGGTCAGAAATGGTTAGAGGTAGCAAGGGACCATCTGTATGACCTGAGAAGCAAGCAGAGGATCAAGCTACCCCTCCCCTGCACGGGAAGATTGGGTTATCAGGGTGCACAATCCCCAAATTCATCTGTCCAAATCAGGAACTTGGAAACCCACCTCACAAATTATAGTACTACTTCCAAAAGAAGACCTACCGAAAACAGATAAAAAACAAAAAAGGAAAAAGCAGGCTTTGGCTCCCCCTGCTGCTTGTATTAGAAATGACAGGCCACCCCCTCACACCTTTTTACCTCCCCCTCCCCCTTTTTGCATTCCTCAGTTGAGTCAAATACTTAACCCCATAGCTGCAGGGTAAGACAAACAACAGACCTCAGGAAAGAAGTTTTATTTCCAATCCCCTAGGAAGGCATTACAAATAATGGAGATAGAAACCCAAATTAAACCCTGAAACAAACAGATGGATACGGGTGGGCCTGCAGGAGCAGAAAGTAGGGGAGATGGGTTCTAGACAGGAACCTCACCCTGGAGCCTGAGTCTGTATATTAATGTGACTATTCTGGGGAAAGGGAGTTGGTAATCAGAAATCCTCACCCGACCAACCCCAATGTTGCCCAGGATGGCTGGGAGGAAGAGGAGGCAGCACGTGAGGGCAAAGACGTCACCAACTCTGACCTTGGCATTTACTGCCTGCTCTGATCCCCAACATTCCATAAATAAGTTACCCTGCATATCTCAAGTTGAGCCAGGGAGCAAGCAAAATAGCCCCAGCCTCTGCAAGCGGAGGCAAGGCAGCCTGGCACTGAGCGGGGCTACAGGAGGACACAGTCGGACTCTTGCTTCGGCCTCTGCCGACGCTCGGCAGCTGGGCGTCCAAATGCAGCTCCTCTCCCCTGTATCAGATTTAACAATTGGTCACCCGTCAACTGTGGAAGAGTCCAGGACAGAGACTCTAGATGGAAGCAGGGTCAGGATTGGGAGAGGCAGTGGGGAGAGAAAGACAGGAAGGGACCCAGGGGAGAGGGACAGACAGGAGAAAGGCCCCGAGGGAAACCTTGAAGGGACATGGCAGGAATAACAAGTGTCTGGACCAGGGGAAGCAGGAGTGGCACACTGAGGATGTGGGAATGCTGGAGGGGCAGCGCTAAGGGCAGGGGGAGCAGACCCACCTGTGGTAACAGGGCACGTGCTGCCACGGGCTGGGCGGCTTGGTGCTGTTGGTACTCCTCTTGCTGAAGTTGCTGGGCCAGCTCCAGGTCGCTAAGACCCAATGTGCCTTGCGACGGCTGCTGCTGCAGGGACAAGGCGATCAGGTAGTCCTGGAGAGAGGGGAAAGAACGGGGATGGTGAGGGAGGCTGGGGCGGGGGGATGTCCAGGCTGTGTTTAGGTTTCCAAACCAGCCTTTCCTGGGAGTTCCCTGGCAGTCCAGTGGTTAGGACTCTGAGCTTCCACTGGCAGAGGGCACGGGTTCAATCCCTGGTCGGGGAACTAAGATCCCACAAGCTGTGTGGCCAAAAGAAAAAATAAATAAATAACGACAACAAAAAAAGCAGCCTTTCCTCATCCTTCCAATTCTCCAGCTCCTTCTCCAGAGCAACACATATAGCCAAGTTTTTTGTTTGTTTGTTCTTTTGCGGTACGTGGGCCTCTCACTGTTGTGGCCTCTCCCGTTGCGGAGCACAGGCTCCGGACACGCAGGCTCAGTGGCCATGGCTCATGGGCCCAGCCGCTCCGCGGCATGTGGGATCTTCCCGGACTGGGGCACGAACCCGTGTCCCCTGCATCGGCAGGCGGACTCTCAACCACTGCGCCACCAGGGAAGCCCCAGCCAAGTATTTTACCTCTGGTGCCAGAGAATACACACCAAGTGCTGAGATGGTCCGAAAGGTAACAGAGGAGAAGGGCATGGCTGTCATATGTCACAGTCTCTAGATAATAAGATGCAGGCAGCTCGCACCTATGGCAAGCAGCTCTCTGAGGCGGACATGCTCTCTGAGCCGTCCCCAGAGACCCCACACACCTGGTCCACCTGCCGCTGCTTTTCTGGGGAGCCACTCCCACCTTCTGCTCCAGGTCCCTTGCCTAGGGAGTGACTTAGGTGAAAGTCAGAGTCACAGAAACAGCTGTCTCCGTCCACGTTGTGCAGGCTCTCCCACACCACTTGCTCCTCCTGTAGAAAGCCCTGGTCGGTGACCAGTAGGTACAAGTGACCCTGCAAAGAGGAGGACAAAGTGCATTGGTGGGACAGGTGACAGAGGCACCTATCTGAGATGCACAGAGACCATTGGAATCAATCGGTGTGCTAGCTGGAACGTGTCAGTGTGAGCATGTGGATCTTTTATAAATATGCGCGGCTGTGGGGAGAAGGAAGGGCTGTCTGAGTCGTGGTCAGCTGGGTGTGAGTATGGTGGTCACTGTGGTCAAACATGGAGTCCTCGGGCTAAAGTCCCGCATACAACCCTGCTTCCTATCCTACTTCCCATGGTTCTCTGGGCTCGCCTGATGGTTATAAGGATAAATCCTTTGAGAACCAACGACCTTTCCCTCTTCTACTCAATTCCTAGAGAGCTCAGACAATTTTTAGCTTTGGAAAACTATAGTATTGTTCAAAAATTCCACTGCCCCTTCCTGGGAGAGGATTTACACTTTCTTGTCCCACTGATGGCAGGCTTACTCCATATGGCTCGCTCTGGCCAGTGAGATGTTAGCAGAACTGACATTGTCATTTCCAGGCAGAAGCACTAAAAGCACGCATGCGGTGTGTTCCCCACCCCCACACTTTCCCCTCCTATGTTCCAGATAAAGGCTGTTTTGTCAGCCTGGGCCCCAAAGTGAAGATGATGTGGGACAGAGCTGCAGCCAATCTGCAGTGGACGTGCAACATGTGTGAGAAATAAACCTTTGGGGACTTCCCTGGTGGTCCAGTAGGTAAGACTCCGTGCTCCCAATGCAGGAGCTCGGGTTTGATCCCTGGTCGGGGAACTAGATCCCGAATGCATGCCTCAACTAAGAGTCCGCATACCGCAAGTAAGAAGTCTGCATGCCGCAACGAAGATCCCGTGTGCCGCAACTAAGATCGGCACAGCCAAAATAAATAAATAAATAAATAGATAAATATTTTTTTGAAAAAAGAAATAAACCTTTGTTGTGGTAAACCACTGGGGTTCAGGGGTCATTTGTTATCACAGCTTAATCTACCTTATCCTGACTGAAACACTCACCCAGAAGAAAAAGGCATGAGGGAATGACAGCACTCCAAACCCCCACCTCCTAAACCCTCATCACCTTGTGCTTAGTCATAGTGCTAAAGTGGTTGTTCCGGAAGAAGACGCTAAGTTCGCCTTCCTTGGCAGCTGTTGTTAGCTCACACAGACCATGGTAGGTCAGCTGTGCAGCGGTGGTCTCCAGGAACTGCTCTGCAATCAGGCCTGGCAGCAGGGCACAAGAAAGGGGGGGGGTAGCTTAAATGCAAAGTCCACGGTAGGATCATCCAGAGAGCCCCTGTCAAAGCCCTAGGGGTCAGCCCCACCTTGTGAAATCGCTTCCTTGAAGCCTGGCTGTATTCGTTCATTCAACAGATTCTAACTGAGAAGCTACTTTTTGCCAGGCGTCGCACTAGGTACCGGGGGATACGTCAGTGAACTAAATAGACAGTTCCCCAAACTCCCTCTCATGGAGCTCACATTCTAGTGGGACTTGGTGGTGGGGAGACAGACAATAAACACTAAACCTAAGTAGCCATCATTCCCTCCCCATAAGATCCACAGAAGAGAAGGGAGGGAGGTCACCTTCTGTCACGAGGTTGGTGTCACTGGAGTGCTTGCAGGTGATGATCTTCTCTACCAGTTGGTTATAACTCAGTTTCCCAACTGCACTCACAGCCTCAGGACTCTGCATGAGCAGCGGGGTGGGGTGGTACCAAAAAAATGGAGATCTTTTACAGGAAGGAAGTGAAGCAAGCCCACAAAGACTGCAAACCCTATGACCAAAGCTTCCTGAAACTTTTGATGTCTGAAGAATTTACCTATTTCCATATTGTTTGCTTGTATTTGAATGTTACCCCCCAGAAAGGTGAAAATTAAAGGAATTCTGCACTGGATCCAGCCTCTAAACCCTAATCCCCTCCCAAGCCAATCTACTCCCTACCTCCCTAAACCCCTCCACACAAAATTTTGCTTCTCTCTCAGCTTGAGCTGACTGAGTCTCACTTGCGCCCCCTACCCTCACCTGTGGATCAACAAGCCAGCCATGGTACAGAGGTATGCCTAGTAGGTCAAAGATGCTGCACTCAGGTGTATACTCAAAATCAGAGACACCTGTGAATCGCACATTGACATCCAGACCTGTGGCCAGTTTAGGCAGCACTGTCATTGCATCGTCCACATTCTGGGGTAGAAAAGAAAATAATGGATAGATCAAATCAACACATGTATATTTTAAACTTACACAGTGCTATAGGTAAACAAGGATATACTGTATAGCACATGGAATTATACCTAGTATCTTAAAATAACCCATTATGGAATATAATGTGCAAAATACTGAATCACTACTCTGTACACCTGAAACTAACACAATATTATAAATCAACTATACTTCAATTTAAAAAATAAAATAAAATGGAAAAAAAGAACCTGACACAGTGTTATATGTCAATTAAATCTCAATAAAACTGGGGAAAAAAAAGAAAATGATGGCTATTCTAGCCTCCCCTCCCCCCCCTCTACTCCCACCTCCAGAAAAAAAAAAAATTTAATCTTGTTGCTTTTCTTCCCTGGTGTTCTCTTACAATGGAAATTCCTCCCTTGTCTCAACCCTTCTTTATCTTATGTAAATGAACATATTTTCTAGGACAGAGATACACCCTCCCCCTCCTGCAGAAAGAAATTATGGTTCAAGGAACCCTCCTGAGAAGCATCAGGAAGGCCTCTCTTAATAGCCTGGGTGTCTCCTTATAAGCCTGCAAACCCCCATGTCCACAGACCTTTCGCCTCACCTGCTGAAAATTAAGCTGAAGTCCTTCTGACTTCTCTTGGGGCTTGATGGATAGAAGGCAGTCTCCTACAAGACAGGATTCCTTATCAGCTTACCCCACCAACAGTCCCAAAAGCTGCTTCCTATTCTCCAGGAGAATGGAGGTAATGTCACAGAACCACAGATTTTCACAGTTGCAAAGGGCCTTAGTTTCTCAGAGGAAGAAATGGGCCCACAAAGGTGAAGGGTACACGCAAGGTTCCATGTGAAAGCTAAGGGAAGAACTGGGGTGACGACCCAGGACTCCTGACACCTTCACTTTTCCTTTTCATTCCCCAGCCTTGCAGAGAAACCCCACAGATTTTTACCTTCCCTGCCACATAAGATCCCCGCATGGGAGTCCCTCAACACTCTGGATTTCTGGCTGAGTAGATAGCACTGGAAGATTTTGGGTAATTCCCCTTCAAGGCCCAGTCACTCACCAAGATGGGCCATGAGCTCATCTGATGCGATCACTTCCTTCTGAGGTGGCAGCTTCACCTGGAGGCAAGGAATGACAAAGTGTTAGCCAGGTGTGTGCTTTCCTTCATGGAGCACTGAAGGAGGAACCCACAGAAAGGCAGGGGGAGGGCAGGGGTTGTCTAGCAGTCAGGTGTGGTGGAAAAGAAAAGCTTGCAACTGGAGCAAGGGAATGAATGTGGAAAACTGCAAGGCATTCCCATTTGCTAGACAGTAGAAGACAGAGGAGTAGGACAGATCATTGTTTTGTTTCGTTTTTAACGAATATCTTATCTCATTTGTTCAAGCTGGAGAAGTAGGAAGAATAATCTGGAAAGTTTGGCTTGAGAAAATCAGAAAGATCAAGGTTTTCTGAGCCCCCATCCAAGCTCTCTCTTACCTTCCACTGAAGAAAAAGGATGTTCATGATGGCGATGAGAGGGCAAGGGCCGTTAGTGCTCTGGGTGATGATGGGTGTCCGTTCTCCCTTCCAGGGGATCCACTTTACACAGTAGAAGTCTAGCTCAGGTTGTCGGGCCCTGGGGGACTGGGGAAGTTCTTGGGGCCAGGAGCAGGCCCCCACTGTCTCTACCTCAGGCTGTGTCCCCTGGGCTGGCCCTTCTTGGCTTGAGCTAGCATCAGGTGGAGGCGACTCGAGGTTATCCTGGCCCTGGGCTGGCAGCAAAGCTTCATCTACTGGCTCCTGTTCTCCAGCTGCCCCATCAGCCTCTTCGGCATCCTTGTCCTGAGGGGGCTCACTGGGTTCTGACAGGACCTCATCGTTTTCAGGGCTGACCACTTCCGCAGTCCTGGCCTCACCACGGACTGGATGCTCAGGCTGATGGTGTTCCATGGTCAGGAGGGGTCAACTGAGGGGAACCAAAGGACTTTATTGTCCTCAGGGACTGGCTTAATCAAGGCTTGATATGCAAAAGAGAGAACGATCCAATAAGAAGGAAATCATTGGGCTGGAACACAAATAGAGCCAGAAAAATCTTGGAAAAGGAATGTAGTGCAGAAGGCTCGGTTAGCGTCTGTTGGCCACTCCTGGCTACAGGTAGTACAGCTTTGGGGTAAACAGAAGGGCCCCAGGCCGGGCTCTTTCACCTCTAACTTGCTGTGACCAGATAGGACCAACGAGGGTACAGGACTTTCAGGCTTGGGGGGGATGATTCCGGTGGGATTGAAGACATTGGGTGGCGTCAGCTTCCCTGAAACAGGAAGGACAAGGAATGGAGACAAGACAGAAAGGGCGGGTAAAAGGAGAAAGAAGAAAAAGAGATGGAGAAAGAAATGTTAAAACTATACTAATGATTATTAATACAGTGATCTTTAGCTCACCCTGTAATAGGCATCATGTCAGTAAACCCCACCATAGCCAGAATGAGAGTAATTCCTCTGCCCTACCCGAACCCTGTCCCTTGGCTGTTCAGGAAACATCCTGAGCACACATGGCTTATATCCTTAGGGCCATCTTCTCTCTGCCTCATCCCAAGGGCAAAAAGATGAACAGTCATATAGTGCTTGGGGTGAAGAATAAAGAGAGTCAATACCATGCCCCTAAAGGTGAAACACTGTTGAGAAAGAAGTCCTTCTCCTCAAAGGACTCCACCTTCACAACTCCAGATTTACACAATCGCAAACCACAACAAAAAGATCCTGGGAGGAGCTTCCTGTAGGCTGGAGAGGGGAAATGCAGGCCCTGGGGACTTGAATCAGAGATCAGTTCTGATAAGTAATTTCAGATTAGACGTACAAAACACACACACATACACACACACACACACCCCACCCAACCCCATTCTTCCAGTAAGCTTCTCTTGACAGCTAGAGTTGGGATCAGCGACGTCTCCTCAGTTCCTCTATGCTCCGAAAACTGCCGAAACCCAGAGATACTCTCTTGCCCACTACATGGAATATAAAAATACTGATTATTGATTTCTGTAAAACAAAAAATGCTCTGTCTCCACTCCTCTACCTGTGCATATGTTCTTTCCATCTATTCCCATCTAGGTCATTTTAGATGTCAACTCTGGACCTGTTTAACCCGCTCTCTACCAGCACTAAGCATAGACATTTAATTAACACCATGGATCGTAGACAATAAAAAGCCACAAACCCTGCCCCCTGGAAAACATTTCCCTTCAACCTCCTTACTTCCCTCACCCCCTTGATCAGGGTGAGAAAGGGGGAGAAATTAAACTTGTCAGAAATCTTTTCTCTTGCTTCCGCCTAACCTGAGACTATGCTTCCTTTTGTAATCCGGCAGGAATTTAGGGCTAGGGTAAAGCCTGGGGGGTGAAGTTGAGGAACAGAAAAGTTACCGAAATAAGCCTAGTCACCCAGATTGATCATCCTCCTGATTCAAATATAATTTATGCTAGCTGCATCTCATTTACATGTTGTTGATTTCGAATCATAGCAGCAAAAATTGCCTGCAGGCCTTATGCTTTTTTTTTCCCTCTCTCTCCTTTTTTCCTCCCTTCCCAAATGACACTTAGGATGAGCCTTAGAAGCAGAAACCAGAGCCTGGGACACTTTTTTAAAAGCTTGGAGAAAAACAGCGCTTATTTCTTAGCTTTTCTGTCCAATGCCAGAAATGATCAATAATTAAGCAGGGGTTGGGCCACTAGCTGGCCAGGCCAGTGGTATCCAGGAGCTGGATACCAGAGGGAGCTGGGTCTCAGAGAATCTGGGCAAAAGGCTAAGTGGGCTAAGTCTTCAGAAGAGGGGCCAGAAGTGTGATGGAGGAGTTCCACTCTACAGGGGGCATGCCTGGTGGGTTGGGCATAATGGAGTATTTCAGAGCAGGAGAGACTCTGAGACTCATAGGTTCTCAAACAAATCAGGATTTCATGCTTTTCCTCTTTTCTTAACTCAAGTCCTACACTTTCTCTCCAGCTGGAATTATCCTCTGGTGGCGGTAAGGGAGTCAAAAGAGCCCTGGACCCTCCCTATAGCCAGAGGCAGTAAATAGCCAAAAGTTGGAAGAAGCATATAAAAGTTGGAAGAAGCATATAAACCGGGTATGTAGCTTCAAGAAGACACCCGTGTCCCCTGCCCTGGCTCCCCAGGAACTTTACTCTCCCCTCAAGTGCCTGACTGTCCCACTCTAATCTCCCTCTCAGTCTGACCCAAATCTTCATGCAACTAATGATTTAGATTTTCCCCTCAGAATAAGGCAACCACAGTGCGCTGTCTACTTGCTAGCAAGGGAGAGGGGGAAGGTGTCATTAAAAGGAGGAAGTGTAGGGACCAAGCAGCATCTCTTTTACGTACTCCTTCTGCCTGAGCTCCTCTCGAAATCCAGACTTATAGAGACCCAAGGTGGAAGGACAGCCAGTGTCACCTCCCCAGAGCTGGAGAGGAAAAAGAGCAGTGGGGGTTAGGAGAAAAGGCGAAGGAAATGGTTAAAACAGTTTTTACCTTACAGAAGTGGGTGCTGTTCCAGGACCTAGAAGGGGGGTTCAACTCTGGCAATGCGATGGCGGAGGTGGGTACAGGGAGGGGCGCCACCACAGTCCCAGCTGCCTTCCAGCTGTCAACGCCAGAGCTTATACAGGTTTACCCAGGTTTACGAGCGGCGGTCCTGGCTGGATTGTGGCTACTTCCGGACTCACGCCCACGACCGGGGGGCACTGGAGGAGGGTGCAGGCAGACAGGGGTGCAGCCCAGGTGCTCCCAGGTCGCTCAGAGCGTCTTCGGGATTTCTGAGTCGCCGAGTCTAGGGCGTGCGCTCCAGGCCCTGTCTACAAGCTGGTTTTCAAAGGAAGTTTGTGGGTTTTCTTTTTTCTTCTTTCTCTCTGTCTCTTTTTTCCCATCAGGACAAAGAAAAATCAGTCAAGGACAAGCTCCCCAAAGGAGGAGGAGCCTGCCCAGCACTGGAGGATTTCCATTAGGGCTTTCTGATCTGGTCAGCAGCTTGGTGATCAGCAGTGAGGGAGAGAAACAGGGAGAGAAAAACAACAGACCCTTTCTCTTCCCTCCGCCTGCCGCTGGAAGGGACGGAGCACTTGTGCCTCTCTGGTGAGAATAGGGAAGAGCAAGGGCCCTTGCTAAGTGGGGAGGAGCAGGGCTGGACAGCAGCAGCTTGTTGGATCTCTCCGGGCATGGCAGTCCTTTGCCCTGGATCCAAAGAAGCAGGGCCAAAGAGCGTGATATTTCCATATTTATTCATTTAAAGTGAAAAAATCCCGATCCTTTCCAAGTCCTTAATGAATCATTTTTTTAGTCTAGAAATGAAACCGGTTGGGCTGTGCCTGGGTAGTGCAGAAGAAGGTGTGGAAGAAGCCCCAGGCTCTGGGAAGAGTGCAGCAGGGAGAAAACCAGCTGAGCAAGCAGGAGATCCAATACCCCTGTGCTCTAGTCCTTGTTCCCACCACGGGCCACAGCTTCTCATCTGTCACCTCCTCTCAATTCCTAGCTTGGGGAGCAGGGAAAGCTGGTGTGAGGCTGGTGGTAGGAAATAAAGGGATGGATTAATAAATAGGGGAACATTTGATGATGAGAATACCTTTATTTGCAGTACTCTGCACCACCCTGGGGCTGGAAGGTGGCAGTTAAAGGAGGTTGGAACCCTACTCTACGTTCTGAAGGGCCCTCCAAGCTCTACTTACAGGGCTGCCGCAGGATGAAACTTCAAGCAACTCCGAAGGCTGAAAGAGCAGTTGGAACAATGAGGGAGGCAGGGAGCAAAGAACCCAGGTTACAACAGTCCAGGAAAAGAATGAGACATTTGCCGACACTGTAGAAAAAAAACAGGCTACAGAAAAGCAGCAGCAGGAGTTGGCGAGAGACTGTAGGTATTAAGTAAAGAAGAGCGGTCAAAGACTACTCTAATGTTTTTATAACATGTATAATCACGCAATTGGTGGCAGTTTGTCAGTTTGGTAAGGAAGAGAATTCGAGAGAGAGATGAGGAGCTGTTTTTGCCCAGTGTAATTTAAGATGTCAACCAGATGGGCGGTGTAATATATGGAAAGATGCTATACTTAGCCTGACTCAAGAGGGAAAGTTCAGATGCCACAAAGATAGGTTATGTGACACATATACACTGTGATCTCAGAAAATTCTCCTTCCCTCAATTCTTGGGGCCATTTTGGCGCTTCGAGACTACACTTCCCAGGACGCCCTGCACCACGCCCCATTTCGCGCCTCCAGCCCCCACTTCGCTCCTCCCGTGAGTCCCTGGGCGCAGAACTCGGCCTCCGCCGCTGGGGGCGGGGCGACGTCGGACTCCCGGGGCCCTTGCTTACGCACTTCCTCCCGGGGTCGGGGCCGAGTCGCGGTGTGGTGGGTTCGAGTCCCACCTCCCGACTCGTCTCAATCCCCTGAACCCGGGGCGGGGCTCATTCGCCAGTTAACCTCTCCGCGGCGAGGGGCAGTGGCACACCTTGAGCTTCACCATGGAGGACTATCTGCAGGGTTGTCGAGTTGCTCTGCAGGTAACGGACCCCTGTCTGTGATCGTAAGGAATGGATCCTGGGGTCGCGGAAGGACAAAGATGTGGGACCTGGGGAGCCCCGAGGGTCTATGTGGAGGGAACGCGGAATTGTGGGGTGGGGGCTTGGGATCTGATCAGGCTTGGGGCCTGAGGAGTGAGGAACGAGAACCGATCCCTTGAGAGTGGGAATGCTGCTCAGTCACCCCACTCCTGAGCTGGGGGCTCCTGCCTTTGGGGTCTGCCCGAGAGCGGGGAGGCGGAATTGTGGGTCTGGGTCCTGCCGCTGAGCCGCTGCTCGCAGTTTCTGGGTCAGTTCCGTCAAAAGGATCGGAGCTGTGCCTGCCGCGACGTGTGTTTGTTCCTTTCTCCCCGCCCCTCTTTCAGTTCTCCGCTCACGAGGCCTCCCGGGCCCACTGGCCTCCAGGTGAACCCCGCGGGTACGAGGGAAGCTGCGCCCACGGCTTTGTTGCCTCTGAACGGCGGTTTCTGTCTGGCGGGCCTAATTCATTCTGAATTAAAAGTGGTGGTAGCAGGCATGTCTGTTGACTACAACCTGCATTCCTTTGCCTCCAGTTTTCTTCATTGGCCTTAACACACACAAATTACATAAAAATCCGCGGCCTGGACTGGATAAGCACAAAGTGTGTTTGGCATCAAAACTATAAGCATGACTCCTGAATGCTTTGTGGCTTATTTTTGGTACTCCCTGAGCGGGCTGGAATCTCCCAGCCTTGCTGACTGGTCATGCAGCCTTAAGCCGCTATCCCCAGTTAGCAGCAAAAAGCTGGCCAGAGAGAGGCTCCAGGAGGCCACCTGGCCCCCCCTACTTCAAGTTACACTGCCCCTGGAGAAACCTAGACAGATGGTTGACTTTGTTTCCTTTTTAAATATCTTAAACTCTACAAACTCCCCTGGGTGATAAGATTCTGGTCTTTAACAAATCCTAAAAGTCACCGAATTCCTCCTGCAGACTCAGCTGCTGTCGTAAATGAATACCCTCACCTGAAGAATAGGAGTGAAGTTCAATTTTAACACCAATTACACCAAATTTTTCCTTGTGAAATACAAATTTGGGGAAAGTTGTTTTAATGCATAAGGCAATTTGGGACCAATTCATTTTGGTTACCTCTGATTTCCACCACAGGGAACTCATTGGAGGACTAATATAGAGTCTTTGTGGCACATTCCAAGGGCCAAGAAGTTGGATTTTGTTTCCCCCCGATAACCCAAATGACCAGTCTGTTCTCCACCATTTGGTAGAGTCCTTGAACCTGAAACCTCACCAGATAGCATTTCATTGCATGCATCTAGACTACAGCATCTGAGTACATCTTCCTCAGGAATATGAAGCTGAAAAATACTGGATTTTTTCAGTATTACTGATATCCTGACCTTTGTCTGTCTGCATTCATCCCCCAAGGAGCAAGATCTATATCTTCCTTTTTCCAAACTTGTGAACTTGTGAAGGTGAGGTCATATCTTAGCGCTCTTATCACACAACCTGGCCGGGGCCAGGAGAAATGAGAAAATTAGACTCTAGCAATGTTAGTGGGTGAACTGGTGGCAGGACATACAGGTGGACACCAACAATTTAGATTGCTTTTAATTATAGAAGTAGTAAATGTACATAGGGAAAACTGTTAATACAAAAAGGATATGAAATTAGAAAAAGAAAAAGATCCTTTTTCTTCTCCCTATCCAATTCCCCAGAGGCCACACGGTTGTTTCTTGTGTAAAGAAAGACATGATTTAGACAGAGACACTATTAAGTTTGAGTGTTGCTATTAAACCACATATAACTTTTAGGAAATTGTGAATGCTTGCCTTTTACACAAGACAAACAGCTGATAACCCAGCCACCTCTCCTGCTGATACCATATTTTCAGCATTTGATACCAGAGAAATTTTCTACAGTCTCTGCCACAATGATAGTAAGTTGTTCCATTTAAAAGAAATCCTGTTTGGGGTTCCCTGGTGGCGCAGTGGTTGAGAGTCCGCCTGCCAATGCAGGAGACACGGGTTCGTGCCCCGGTCCAGGAAGATCCCGCTGAGCCTCCTCCTCGTACCGCAAAGAAAAAAAAAAAAGAAATCCTGTTTAAGTTAATGTCCTATTCATGGTGAGTTATCTTTCCTCCTCGTACCGCAAAGAAAAAAAAAAAAGAAATCCTGTTTAAGTTAATATCCTATTCATGGTGAGTTATCTTTCACTTTTAGTGGGAAAAAAAAAAATCTTTCCTTCAGGGTGGGGCTGCATTCAAGTTTAGGTGTTCATCCAGAAGCTTTGGATAATCTGTGTTGTCTGCACTTCTCAGGAATGAGGCAGGAATCAGGAGTGGCTGACTATCCTTAGAAATTTGCAGTCCTTGCATCAGTATCAGTCAGTCCCATTTTCCCTGCTGGGAAGGCTTCTCTATCTCTGGCTCCTTGTCTCCTTTTTTCATTTCTCCCTCATTAACTAATTTGTAGAGTAGGCATCAGACCATATGCAGCCTTGGAAGGGAAGTAGTTGACTTTGCCAGCCCTGAAACCCATCCCCTCTCCCCCCCAACTCCATGTTGAGGCCGCAAAGAACATCAGGATACAGTCATTTCAGCTAGTGGGTTTTTGTTTTTTGGGATGTTTTGTTTTGTTTTGGCTCCGTAGCGTCTTTGTTGCTGCGTGCGGGCTTTCTCTAGTTGTGAGCGGGAGCTGTGCGGGCTTCTCATTGCAGTGGCTTCTCTTGTTGTGAAGCACGGGCTCTAGGTGCACAGGCTTCAGTAGTTGTGGCACGCAAGCTCAGTAGTTGTGGCTCGCGGGCTCTAGAGCGCAGGCTCAGTAGTTGTGGCGCATGGGCTTAGTTGCTCCGCGGCATGTGGGACCTTGTTCGAGCCGCACCAGGGCTCGAACCCATGTCCCCTGCATTGGTAGGCGGCTTCTTAACCACTGCGCCACCAGGGAAGGCCTAGGTTTTTTTAAAGAAGAAAAAAAGTTTATATCTACTAGTGGCTCTCAGATTGTATTTCTTCCATTGGCAGCTCAGGTTTCCTCATGCTCTAAGTATAGCTATATTTGCCCGGAACTCTTCCTCTGATGGTCAGAAAACTGAGGCTTGTGCTTTCAGCTAGTGGGGGATGGGGTGGGGGATAAGAGTTAACATGTTTTTCCTAAACAAAGAGGAGAATGGTACCTTGTAAGTTAGGCATCCATATACCCGACTTGCCTAGGACAGTCAGTTTATTGAGACATAATCATTAATTGCACCCCTTTTCATTCTCAAAAGTGTACTGGTTTGGGCTTCCCAGGTGGCGCAATGGTTGAGAGTCCGCCTGCCGATGCAG